AAACAAACCGAATAAACCGTATTATGATTCTATAACCCCGAGTAACAAAATAACAATGTACTTTTATACATCAACATAAAACGTTCAAAGACTAACATAACACAATAACGCATTGAAAGAATAGCATTTACATAGTAGATTAAAATAATGAGAATTAAATGCTTACTTGAGTTTCTTGAGTTGGAACCCAATTTTCCATGACTAGAAAAAGTAAGAATTCGTGAATCCTTAGAGGTAATAGGAAGGGTCGATTTTTGAAAGTCTGAAACAAGAAGAAAGATCGACAAAAGTGATTTCGAGTTTAGAAATAGTTGAGAAGATTGATCAATTTTGAAACGACGATGACGAGCGTAGGGTTTTTTTGTTATGAATGACGATGACAGAAGTGTGAATCATGATTTTGATTTCTGTCGATCAGAGAAAGGGACGAGGAATGCTTATTTGGGTCGGGTATTTAGAACCGAATAAGCTCTTATTCGGGTAACCCGAACCAAATAACCTCGAGAACCGAATAAGCATAATATAGATACCCGAAACCCGAATCGAATTGCTTATTTGGGCCTAATTCGGTTCGGTTCGATTCGGATTTTTGGGCCAAATTTTCATCCCTAATCGTATCCCAAGTTGATGAAGTTAGCAAGTTCTTTTTGTTGGACATGTGTACCTACAACATAACATGTCATCACTAGCAATATAATATGAGACATTAGGACTGCAAAACTAGATCAGGTAGACAATAATCATGTTGGGTAACAACTAAACACTTTGTGGAACATTTTAAATATCATTACAAAGAAATGTCATGGTGTGATAAAGAGGTATAGCATGAAATCATGGCAGATGTAAAAAATTAAGATATGCAATAATCAATAATATAAAGAAGAAATGAATAATTTAAGATTGCTCTCTTGAATCTTCCCAATTTAAAAGCTTACAAATACATAGTTTTATTTTTATATTTTAACTTTGACAATTATGTTTCTAAATTAGAAAAATGACAATCCAAAATAATTTAATCTATATCATAATTCATAGATTAAGATTATTCCAATAATACTAAATAATTAAAAAATATGATTATGCTTAAAGTGATAAACAAATCAATTTTTACAAGCATCCTCTATGATTAACAAGCATCTTAAAAAAATACCATTGTACATACGATTACACAAAAAACAAATTTATTTTAAAGCAAAACAACTCTAAAAAACATACATGAAGTTTTAGTCTTTTGGGTTCCTTTTGGATCTAGGGTTAGTGTTTGTAATGTTAGAGGCTTGCATATGGATTAAGTTGGAAATTTTATTCATTAAGAACTTTCCTATAAGTATTATGGAAAGTTATAGCCTCTAGCTTAAAAGATTAAGGACTTAAAAAAATACATTGTATTGCCAGGGGGTGTGATTCGACCATAAATTAGTTGCATAGAGGAATATCATGATTGTTTTGGACTGTAATGGTCACAACACAACCATGTGTTGGTCACGGTACGTCTGGCGTTGATCTTTAACCGTTAACTTTTGGTCAAACTTTGATGAATATAAGTATTGGACTGAGGATTCGTCTCTAATTGATATTAGGTGGTTCGTGCTAGCTGTTTCATCTACTAAGACTTGAGACTTGGGTTGCTAGTTTCAGGTGAGTTTTCTCACTATACTATGTGTGACATTATATGTCATTTGTATGATAGGATGCTTGTGAGTACTGTTAGTGTACAAATATATGATTAGACTAGAATAGTCTTGTGTTATGATATTTGGAAAGTCCTACAGGAAGTTGGCCACGAGCGTTCAGCCCCTGTAGGAGGATAACTGGGAGTTTAATGGTCGGTTGGGATGTTGGTTGAGTGTTTAATGTCCCACTGAGGTGTTGACTATGAGCTAGTTGGGAGTCCGCATGCCAATTGGGATGTTGGCTGAGTGCCAACTAGCTCACTAAGGTGTTGACCGTGAGCTTACTGTTGATATGCATTGTATGTGTGATGGAATGTGTGATATTCTGAGGAACTCACTAAGCTTTGTGCTTATGTTTTCTAAGTTAAATGTTTTTCAAGTTGTTCTAGTGAGAAAAGGAAGGGCGCGACGTGATTGTACTCGCATCGGTGTTTGATTTTGTTTTGAGACTTTCACTGATATTACGATTTGACTCTGGTTTGATATTATGCTTTTATGATGTTTGAACAAATGGATTGTTATTTACTTTTGAAGAGATGGTTTTTGGTGGTTTAATTGTTATTTATAAAAAAATTAGTTGAAAATTTGGGACGTTACAATCCATTTGTATGAAATCATTATTACCCTTTCATTATGACAAGCACCATAGTATTTACATGCAACATTATCATCATCATAAAAGTTCTTATAATTTAACGGTTTGACATAATGAATTTTTCGTTCGACATACATTTGACATAGAACAACTACATTTTATGTTGTACAACCGGCGTTAGAAATGGTGGTATTGACGTTTGACATGGAACAACCAATTTTTGTTGTTATACAACCTCCGTTTGATATTATACAAATGGCGTTTGAAAATGGTTGATACCGACGTTTGATATGGTGTCATCGACACTTGATATGACACATAATATTTAGGATCATCATACTGAATTCATCGATACATATACTGGTTTTCATAAATAACTTGTGGATTGATTTGTGGTTGTACGGGTGTTCCATATGCAACATAACCACTAACAATGAGAGGATCATTTTGAGAAATATGCATACCTACTTGATTATTGCTACCTCTTCCTCTAGATATGTTCTTAGTAGAGTTTTTCCCTCTTATACTACCAAACCCTCTTCCTTCGCTAGATAGGTTCCAACCAACAACATATCAATTTGTTGGATTGTATTGAACATTATGTGTCTCCTCTGCTAGATCATTATCCACCAGATACAAATGTACAACAGTTGAAACATTCCAAATAATTTTCTTTAAATGCTTTACATCACCCTTCTCAACTATCTGGATAACATATTTCTGTAACACCTCAAATTTTAGCCCAAATTTTTCATTTTTAATTTACCAAAATTAAGGTTTCACAAACCAAGTTATCAAATACATAATTATCCCAAAACAACCAGTATCAGAAATATCAGAGTTCATAAACTGTCCTAGTAGTAAATCTCCCAGCGAATGTGTACAATCAGACCTTCGCATTCCCGCAGTCCTCGGAAGTACATGCCACATATAAATCAACAACTGTACTAACGAAGCTTAGTGAGTTCCCCAAGATACTACATACAACACAACATAAATAAACAAGTATGGGTTATCAACAACCCTGGGGACTATCAGTAGTCCTAGTGGGCTAACAACATGCTCTGTGGGTTATCAGCAACCCTAAAGCCTATCAGTAGTCTCAGTCACATATAAACAACATAACATAATCATAACAGCTAGACCCAACTGGTCATTACAGATACAACTATTATACCACACAAGTAAGAATAAGTGAGGAGACTCACCTGATACTGACGATAAGTAAATCTCACACCCGAACTGTCGGATCTAGACTCTGCCTAATCAACAAAATAATTAACCCTAATTAATAATTAAGGTCCAAAACTTTCTCGCGAGTCCAAATCCCACAACTAAATCTCCTAAAGGCAAAAAGACTATTTTGCCCTTCTCATGATCCAAAACCCTAAATCTTGACCAAAGGTCAAAGGTCAACAAAAGTCAACTGCCCAGTGAGTACGCTGGGCGTACCACTTCTTACGCATGGCGTACAATGAAATCAAAATCCATCGAGGGGCGGAACCGGCTACGCCCAGAAGTACACCCGGCGTACTCCGTCTACCTCTACTTCCACCAACTTAGTGTCTTAATCCCTTAAGACAACTAACCCAACCTCAAATCTGACTATTCTAAGATGTCTTAACCCATAAAGTCGTTGGCTTTAAGCCTTTGCATGGCTAGGAAGGACCCAATCCAACAATCATTATCTTCTAACACACTCTAAGCTACTTTACTCATGCATGAGCCAAATGGAATGATCAAGCAACCATTTTTTATGAATCTATAGGTCCTAAAATGCATGAAAGGATAGCTACAATTTCCTGGAGTGCTCCAAACCCATAAAGGTCCAATCTTGGGGACAAAAGTTCATGAAACTTCAACCATAAAGATCTAATGAAAAGCTTGCCAAGGTATATACTTTATACCTGGAAATGATACACAAAGAGGAAAGGTTTCTGGATCTACAAGCTTTGTAGCACCCACTCATTATTCTCTAGTCTCCTTCCGCTACAAGCACCAAGAACACTTTAAAACTTGCAAAAACTCACATAAGCAACTCAACTCGGGATTAGGGTTTTAGGGAGGGTTTGGTGGCTCGTAAGGATGATCAAATAGGGACATCATGTTCTTTAAATAGGGAGTAACCCTTAAAATTAGGGTTTGAAGACTCGGCTAGTACGCCCGGCGTACCACATATACGTCCAACGTACTAGCTGATCATCCGCGTTCCTAAATTGCACGAGTACGCTGCGCGTACTCTTACGCACGCCCTGCGTACGACCAAAATCGCAAGCCTTTTTCTCCAAGGGACCAAATGAGCCACTTTAATAACAATACAAGAAATAATAGAAGTACCTGATATCGGGATGTTACAATTTCAACATATGGTGTTGGAAAGACACACTGACATCCAAACCTACTCTCTTTTTAACCAAATTGTATAAATCTGAGAAATTTATATCGACGAGAATTTCAACACAATTTTTTTAACAAATGGTATAACGTATATCAATTCCTCATTTTCTAACTATCATGACCCGCCAACGCAACCAACAATAAAATACTAATCTGAATCGTTTGAACTCATGTTATATCAACAAGAGCAATAATATAAGGTAGATAAAATTCATAGGGAAAATAAAAGAAAAACCAACTACATTTTTATTCCAAAGATGAGAGAATATGTTTGATAGTTTTTTTTAGTAAACTTTCTTTTGTTTACCAAAACGTATGGATTGTCCCTACCCATAGTTGTAGCATCCTCTAAAACGTATGAGTTTTCCCTATGAATTCTCATTTTCGCAATCAAAATGATAAAAAATACATGAAAATAAAAAATGGCAGATAACGTTATTTTTAGCAGATGATGATATATTGATATGCACAAATTATTATTAGAAATTGATTTTTTTTGGTAATTCTCCCTGCAAAATTCATCCCCAAGAAAGACTTGTTTTATAAAGTTATCCTTCAAGAATACTTTTTTACAAATTCCCAACAAAAAAGTGAGCTTTCTTACAAATTACTCCCCTCAGTCACGCTTTTGCTACACCCTCGGACCTCAGTGTCTCCATCATCAGGTTTCTCCCGACTCCCGCTGTAGAAATAATAAAAGTATCCGACGCTATCATGCGAATGTCTGCCGTCGGTCAAGAAGAAAATTAGTCTCATAAAATTCATCGATTGATTCGTGTTTTTCGTTTTATTTTTTTGCCTAACAGGTGACTGTTGATTGTTTAGATCGCATCTACCCAAGTTTTCATTTTCTTTCTATTGTTAATCTTCTGCTTATACGTGATTTTTCCCTTTGTAGTTGTTAAATGTCAGGCGGCTCAGCAGTAGGGGCACCAATTCCCGGTCGCCGGAGTACCGTTCGCGTTGTGGTTGTCGGTGATCGTGGTACCGGTAAATCAAGCTTAATCGCGGCAGCTGCCTCCGAGAATTTTCCTGAAAGCGTTTCACCTGTTCTTCCTCCTACTCGTCTTCCTGCGGATTACTATCCGGATGGCGTTCCTGTCATCATCATCGACACCGCCTCTAGGTCTCGATTGAGTTTTATCCATCATCAACTTATTTGATTGATTAGATTATGCGTTTATATTTATGTTTTAATTCGGACTTATTAATGTAGTTTGGAAGGGAAAGCGAAGCTAGAGGAAGAATTGAAGCGAGCTGATGCCGTGGTGTTAACCTATGCTTGTGATAAACCTGAAACACTCAATCGCCTTCAGAATTTTTGGATTCCTGAAGTTCGTCGCCTGAAGGTTTTCAACCCATTAATATGTTACAATGTAATTGTTTGAAAAGGAAACTGCCAGGTTTAATGTTTTTTGTATATATATCTACAGGTGAAGGTACCGGTGATTGTGGTTGGTTGCAAGCTAGACTTGCGAGATGAACACTACCCCATGAGTCTAGAGCAGGTGATGGCTCCAATAATGCAGCAATTTAGGGAGATTGAAACTTGTATAGAGTGTTCTGCAGCCAACCTTGTCCAGGTATGTTATTTCGTTTAACCTCAATATCAATAATAGAGTACAACAAGCCTTCAAGTTCAGCTGCAGTCCTTACTATAAAGAGATTATTAGATTAGTCAGAGCCATGCTTCTAGTGTCCTGGACTTATGATCACCTTTTACTCAAACCCGTAGTTTACAATGTGAAATGTACTACTCATTGTGGTATTATGAACTTACCTTTTCATGAAAATTGAAGCTATAATCCAAATTATCCAATGCTTCTTCTGAAAATCTTCCAAGTAAAAGCATATATTGTTCATGTTACGATTACAATACTGGGGAAATGTGTATTATTGATGTTATATAGTTTATGCAATAACCCTATAGTTACATCTAATTAACATACAACATGTCAATACCCCTTTGTTTTGCCTCCCATGTTTTTTCTGTTCCTTTTAGCAGAAGCTATTGTCAAACTGTTTAGATGAATAGAAAGTTCCACCAAATATGTAGAAGTTTGTTTCCTTCATGATGCTTGGGCTTACCATCTTAGTCTTAATCTGTAACATGATTAGATACAAAAGCTCATTTTATTTGTTTTATAGGTACCTGAGGTGTTTTACTATGCTCAAAAAGCAGTGCTTCATCCAACTGCCCCATTGTTTGATCAAGAATCTCAAACTCTAAAACCCCGATGCATACGAGCATTGAAAAGGATATTTATTCTTTGTGATCACGATATGGACAGTGCCCTAAATGATAACGAGTTGAATGAATTTCAAGTAATTTCTCCTCTGCTATATTTCATAAAAAGAAAGTTTTTTTTTTTTTTTTTTTTTTTTTTTTTTTTTTTTAAT